CCTAGCACTTGGGAGGCTGAGCCAGGAAGATCACTGCAAGTTGCAGGCCAGCCTGAACTGTACAATAGATATTATGAAAGGAAAAGAAATTGCTCAAAAGAAGGAACAACTGGGATGAGGGAAAGGAGAAAAAGAAAGAAGGAAAGGAACAAAAAAATATGTATGTGCACAGAGGGATAGCTGGGAAAACTGTACTGCTGAGGTCTAGTGGTTTATTGAAAAGAACAGTTAATACCTAATTTTTTTTCTTTTTGATCAATTTTGCATGCTTATATCTGGTAATCTGAACAACTAATTTAAAGACAACAATACGCAATATAACAACCATTAGGGAATTCCTACCATCTTGTCTAGTGAAACTGTATCGTTTCTAATGTTTTTATTTTTTATTCTCTTTAACGGTTTGATCAGTCTTGCATTCTTACATCTGGTAATCTGAGCCACTTCGCTGAAGATAACAATATGTAATATAACAGCCACTCTTAAGTCTTATCATTTTGTTCTGAAACCCTGCATCACTTTTATTGTTGTTTTTTTTTTTTTGTCTATGTTGTTGGTATTTTGCTATTGTTCTCTTTTTTAAATTATTATTCTCTTTAAAATAAAAAAAAAATTAAACAAGAAAAGCAGAGATGATTAAAAAAAAGGGTCAAGGATATAATTCAGTGGCACAGCACCTGCCTGGCAAGCACACAGTCCTGAGTTTGATTCCTGGTACCTGCCCCAAAATACATTTAAAAAAAAAAAAAAAAAGATCCCCATTAGGAATTGTGATGAAACCAGTAACTCTCAAGCTTTTTGGACTATGACTCTAAATGAACTTTGAGACCTTCAAAGCCATTTTAAAATGGCTCTGAAAGGCCATTTTAAAACTGTTTCACAAACCTTCCCACATTAAACACAAACAGAAAACACTATTTTTACACTGTTCCAGGGCAAACAGGTAAGAGACCCAAAGCTCAGAGAAGCACTGTCTTGGTGTATCATTACCCCTTCTGACAATTGATACTGAGAATAGGGAAAACTATTTTGTTTGGGCCATTAAATATCACTTTTATACCACTTCTCCAGGCAAACTACACCACAGCATCTTTTCTCTGTTCGTACAAGGTTTGCTTTGGTTTTATTCCTACTGAAACCATGGACCCTGAGAGACCATGAGTTAGTGGAGGGATGTGTATTTGTCAACAGAAAACACGTCTGCCGTTAATACTTAAGCAATACCTATGTGTGAATGTAAGGATGCTCATGGAGCCTGGCGTGTAGTGCATGTCTGTAATCCCAGCACTCTCGGGGGCTGGGGCAGATGGACTGCCAATCTGAGCCCAGTCCATGCCTTGGATTTGATTTCAAGTTCTACAAAAAAAAAAGCTGTAATTTGCAGATGTTTATCACAAACTGACTTAAGTAATTTCAAGAGTTCTGAAGTTTTGTTGGTAAAACATACAAAGAGTGACAGAAGAATCAAGCTTGCCATTCTACTACTTTCAACTCAAATCAACTGTACCCACAGTCAGGCTTTTCTACGACGTGCAGCAAAATACTGGAAAGTCTCAGCTTTGGTGCTTCATATTCTTAAGCATTCACAAATTTGAGCTAGGTTCTTATATCTGAAAAACTTAAATCCTTTTTCCTGCCTATGACAACTGTCTATCTTCTGCAAAGATATAGAAGGAAAGGTGCTTTTTTCTCCTCCCTGCATAACTAGTTCAGGGCCACTTTAATTCTCTGGACAGCACTTTCATTATTAGTATAAGCAGTACTGAACATCTACCATGGGATCCTAGGCCTTAGTTTCTTTTCTAATAATTCATCTCTGTGAAGGAAAAAACGATAAAGTAGGAAGAATGTTACTGATGAAGAAAAGAAATCTGGGCCAGGCATGCAGCTCGGCAGCATAGTGTCTGCCTGGAAAGCACAAGGTCCTGAGTTTGATTCCTGGTACCAAAATAAAAAATAAAAACAAAAACAAAAGGAAGAAATCTGGCCAGACATGTTTAACGATAATCTTAAAATTTTCATGGAGTTCTTCACAACCTTCTGAAGCCCTAATTTTTTTTTTTTTTTGTTGGAGGTACCTGGGATTGAACCTAGGGCTTTATGCATGCTAGGCAAGTACTCTACCACTAAGCTATATCCCCAGCCTTTTTTTTCTTTTAATTTTCTGATGGAATCTCACTAGGTTGCCTGGGCTGGGCCTGAACTTGTGATGCTTGTGCCTCAACCTCCCAAGTGATGAAATTACAAAATGTGTAGGCCGGGGATACAGCTTAGTGGCACAGCACCTGCCTGGCAACCAAAAAGGAAAAAAAAAGGAATTACAAATGTGTACCACCACGCCTGCCTCTAATTTGAGTTTTGACCTTAGTAACAAACCTATGGTTTATGTAAAGATGGATTATTACCCATTAGATAGATGAATCTAATACAGCACTGCAATAAAAAATTAGCAATGAAGAACATATCTCCAAATCAGGCATGGTGGTGCATGTCTGTAATCTCAGCACTCAGGAGGCTGAGGCAGGACTGCAGGGAGTTCAAGGCAAGCCTGAATTACACAGCAAGACTCTGACTCAAAAAAACAAAACAAAATAAAACCATACCTCCAACCGTGAAATAGGCTGTGGGCCAAAGCTTTCTTCTTCCACTGAAGTGTCTGCACTTGCTTCAAGCTGCATCTGCATGGCCATTACTGAAAAACACAGATGGCCATGAATACTATAGAAATACTGCGGGGGTCAGGAAGACCTCCTTATCCACTGGTTCTGCATCAAAGATTCAACCAAAAAAAAAAAAAGAGAGATTCAATTAACTGTAGATAGAAAATATTGGGCTAAAAATGTGTCTGTCCTGAACATGTACAAACTTATTTCTTGTTATTAGTCCCCCCAAACAGTATAATATAACTATATAAAGCACTTGCATTATATTAGGTATATCAAGCAATCTAGAGATGATTTAAAAAGTATGTTGGAAAATGTGTACAGATTATTTGCAAAAATTACTGTTTTATACATATAAAGGAACTGAATATCCTCAGATTTTGGTATCTGGGTGAGAGGTGGGGGATTCAGGAACTAGAACCCCAAGAACACTGAGAAACAACTCTGCTTGATAAGCTGAGCTTCCATGGTAGGAAAAAGATCAAACCTCATCTCTAGCTCGCCAGCTAACTCTATCAGAAAGACTTCCAGAAAAGCCAGGCCCATTCTGCTTCTTACAGATGCATCCCTTATGAGATTAACTATGCCCCCTGTTCTCCTGTTTTATATTCCTAGAGGGTAGGGGCCCAGTCTATTTTTACACATATCCACAATACAGTATAAACATTAGGTGTTTGGTAAAAGTATGAAGACTTTCCAGGACTAGAATTTACAAAATTTTTTAAATTGATGCAAAGTTCAACTGCTTCAGTTTCTCAATATCCTTCTAGCAAAGGGGTTAGGGGAGGGAGACAATGAAACTAAGTATAGAACGGTTGGTCACATGATAAAGTAGGGACTAAAATAAGCACTTCCCATCTAAGCCAAGGGTCATAGCTTGGTCCAACAGGTGTGTTTCAAATTTGAGCATCATTATTTTATTTAGTCAATTTCCAACTTCAGTGAATAAGCAAATGACAAAAAAAACAAATACCCTGTTCAGTCTGAAATACTGCATCTAAGTGTAAGGCTAGTTTGATAGTTATGATAACTTGAAAAGAACTGAGAACAAAAACTTCTAAATTATCTTCAAAGTGTGTTAGTAAAACTGAACAAGTCTATGTTCATAAGAATAAATGGATTTAAAAAAATAAACAGATTCAAGCGCCCAGCGTAGTGGTGCATGCCTGTAATCCCAGCACGGGGGTGGGGGGTGGGGGTGGGCAGTATGGCAGTTGAGAGTTCGAGGCCGGCCTGGGCTACAAAGTGAGCTCAAGGCCAGCCTGAACTGCACAGTGACTCTGTCTCAAAAAGACAAAACAAAAAAACAAACAAACAAAACTCCGCCCCCACAAAAAAAACACCCCCAAAAACAGATTTAAATCACATCAAAAGAATCTGGAAAAATAGACAAATTTAACCCAAAAGGTAACATACAAACTTCACTTTTGGAGACTTGACAGAAGATATGAATGTCTGTTCTTAGTTTAGGTACCGAGCTCTTGAAGGACAGATATAGCATGCCTTGAATTGGTGATAAATCCATATATCAGAATCCTTGGAATGAAATTTAAATATTCCCTCTTATAATTTATGAAAAAGCACTGCAGAAGAATGGGGAAAGGATGGTCTTTTCAATAAATAGTGCTTGTTTGTTTGTTTTTTTTTGTTTTTCTCCGGCACCGGGAACCGAACTCACAACCTTGCGCTTGCCAGGCAGGTGCTTTTGCCGCTGAGCTAAATCCCCAGCCCCTCAATAAATAGTGCTGAGTAGCCTTACAGAATAAAATGCACTTGCCCTCTTCTGCACCACAGAAAAAAATCAATTTCCAATTTAGATTATATGTCTAAGAGGTTAAAAAAGTTTTCAGAACATAGAATATTTTCATGACCTTACAGTTGTTTTTGTTTTTATTTTTTGCAGTGTATGGAGATGAAACCTAGGAGTGTTCTTCCACTGTACTACATCCGCAGCCCTTTTTTTTTTTTTTTTTTATAGGAACATGAGGTGGGATTTGAATATTTTGGTGCTCTTCAGATACAGAACTGGATACATGATGTAAAGAACCAAAAAGGGAAAGGCTTAAAAAAAAAAACTGGACTACAAACCAAGTATGGTGGTGCATGCCTTTAACTCCAGCATTTTGGAAGTCCAAGCCCAACCAGACAATTTAGTGATTAGCAATTGCCAGTCTCAAAATAAAAAGGGTTGGGGATATAGCCCATTGTGTAGTACCACAAAACAAAACAAAACCTATTTAAATTCAGAACTTCTATCCATCAAAAGACACCCTTAAGGCTGGCTGTGGTGGTACTTGCCTGTAATTCCTGTACTTGGAAGGCTGAGGCAGGAGGATCACTGAGTTTGAGGCCAGCCTGGGGCACAAAGTGAGTTCAAGGGCAGCGTGAACTGCAGAGCAAAACAGTGTCTCAAAAAAACAAAAGACACCATTAAGACTCTGAAAGGTCAAATCACACTGGAAGAGAAAATATAACCAAATGGCCAAGAAAAATGAATAGCTAACTTCACCAGTAATTAGGAAAATGACATTTAAAACCACATAGCTAAAAATTAAAAAGATAAATATGTGTTGGCAGACATGTGGAACAACTAAACAGTCAACATGTAAAATTCAACAACAGTCAAGGTTAGCTCTTGGCAATAGAACGCAACATACTACTTGCTACTGGGCAAGAGGGGAAAATATTAGACAAGTATGTGAAAGTTTAAGCACTACACTCTTTTTTTTTCTTTTTGAGATCGGGTCTCACTAGGTAGCTCAGGTTGGCCTATGAGACCTCCGGGATTCTCCTGCCTCAGCCTCCTAGAGGGCTATGTCTAGACATGCACGCCCGGTTGACAGCATACTATTTTTCTTTACCTGTGTCAAGGACTCATTTCGTAATGATTCACGGAGCTGTACACACTTGTAATCTGTGCACTTTACACTTTGTGAATATATATAATTACACTTTGTAAGCTTTTAAACGCCCAGTTTTCAAAGTATTCCCTAAACAGTACGCGCACGCGTTTTCCACAATGAGATGATGAAAATGATCTTTCTGGAACTGGAGGCTGGCGCTTGTAAGTGCAACACGGTGTCGCAGGGAGAACGGCGACCGGGCACCCGGACCCCCGGCTCTAAGGCGAACGGCTGCGCCCGCCCCTCCTCCCGGATCTCGGCTTCCTCGCTCAGTCCGGAAAACCAGCGCTGGCCGCGAAGGGCCGCAGGCTCTGGGGCTGAGCCGGCACCGGTTTCCCTCACCGACGCCCTGAAGGGCGGCTGGGTCCGACGGGCCCGGCTCCGCCATCTTCGGCCGCTCGGAAGCTGGCTGCGGGCGGCCGGGCCGGGCGGGTCCAGCGGGCGAGAGGGAGAGGGTTCCGCGGCGGCGCAGGGCCGGGCCCGCTCACCTGGATCGCCGCGCCGCTCCGCGGCCCGCTGGCTTGCCCGCCCGACGCCGGCGGCTTCTCGACCCCCTCGCACGGTTTTCTGCCCTCACCCAGGGCGAGTTTCAGCGCCGACACGAGCGAGTGAGGCGCAGCTGGACTCGGGCACGGGCCTCCGTCGCCGCGCGCCGCGAACAGCGACTTTCGGAAATCCCGCCAAATCCTGTCGGGCAGGGCCACGCCTGCGCAGCGTAACGTCGCGCTGCCCCCTCAGGTTGGCCTTCTAGCCCCTTCTGATTCTGCCCGAGAGAGACGGACCCTAGGAATTTGAACCTGCGTGACACTGAGGATTATGCTCCTCCTTTGTCCTGTGAAGACTAATTCGAATTTTGTGAGTTGCTGCCTTCTCTTTATCAGCCTGAGAACTACAAATCCTAAGAGGCCGTGCGGCCAGTCTGGACTACATCTCCCAAGATGCACCGCGCCCAACCCATGGCCCCTCCCTGTGCGAGCCAGGCTCGGGAGAACTCTTCCTGCCAGAGTCCAAACCCCGACGTCTTCTCCAACTTGACTTTTGTTCCTGCGGCGTTTCCCGGCCTGAGGGGCTGAAGAGGGTGGAAAAACTGCATGAAACTGGGCATTTTATTTAGACTACTCTAATCATGGATACACAGATGTGGTATTTCTATGCAATGAAATATTTTGCCATAAAAAAGGAAAGCGATTCGTATGGCACTGCACACTTGTAATCCCAGCGTTCTTGAGAGGCGAATGCAGGAAGAGCACAAGTTTGGGCCAGTCTGGCGCTTTTTTTTTTTTTTTTTTTTGAGACGGTCTTGCTGTAGAGTTCTGACTGGCCTTGAACGCACTTTGTAGCCAAGGCTGGTTTCGAACTTGTAATGATCCTCCTGCCTCAGCCACCGAGTGCTGAGATTACAGGTGTGCACCACCATGCCCGGTTTGGTCTGGCACAATTTAAAGACATTATTTTCTTTTCTTTTTTT